CCAGTTCCTCGTCCGTAAAGAGACGAGCGTGGCGGGGCGGCTACTTAACGTCCTCGGCCGCCTCGACCACCTCGGAACTCTCGGGCACTTCCTTGCTCTCGGCGGCAGCGCCTCGGTCCTCCTCGGCGACAGCCAGCTCGGTGGCGGGCCCTGCCACCGGCTCGGGCCCTACGACTACGTTGACGTTCTCCTCGGCGATGTGCTCGCCGGCCGGCGATCCTCCGTCGCCGTTCCACTCGGCGAACAGTGTGTCCCCCACATCTACAGCGCCGCCCCACCCTTCGAAGGAGGGCTCCTCCGCCATCCAACGCGGACGGGGGCCTTCCTTCTTCAGGATGCTTAGCAAAGGGGCCGCAGTCACTGACCTCGGCACCGCTCTCAACTCCGTCGGCGGCGGCACCTCCTCCGTGGGCACCTTGTAGGTTATGTTCGCGCTCGGAGGCGCAGCACAGAACGCTTCATCGTCCGCACTGGCCGCATAGAACACATCACCGTCGACTTCCTCCTCCTCGGAGTACACCGACTCCTCCGACCTCACGGACCGGTCCTCGTCGTACGCCGAGTCGACGGTCTCAGCCGCCGTCCCCTACTCCACGCTCGGGGCTGCGGTCAGGGCTACTCGCGGGGTCTTCTTTGCCCGCGGGGGCGTCCAGCTCGGCCGCCTCGGCCTCCTTGGCCTCTTCATCGATACCATCGAGGGCGGCCCCTTCATGGGCCCAAGCCTCCTTCACCCTTGCACTCGACTCGTCCTGCTCGGCGCTCTCCTCGGTCGCCGTCTTCCCCGCAGGGTACATCTTCTCCTCCTCGTCACTCGCAACGGCCCACGCCGCTTCTTCCTCGTAGCAGTATGCAGGCTCTTCCGCCACGCTTTCCTCATTTTCGCCGTGCACAGACAACTCCGTCCAGCACTCAGCTTCACCTTCTTCCCGCACGGACAACACCATCCGCCCCTGCTCTCGTTCATATTCTTCTTCGACGGAGACGCCGCTGGGTACAATCGACTCTTCCCGGGTACGGCAACCGTCTCAACTTCCACTTCCGCTCTTGGCGACTCTACGCGTTCCTCATCGACGCTCCCTTCATTCACACTACTCTTCACAACCTTGTCCACCGTTTTCCTCGCCGTGACCGTAGAACGCCTTCGTCTCGCCTGCCTCCTACGATCACCCCCTGAGCCATCCTCTAGACTAGAGAAAGGAGTGGCTCCCTCCTCTCCTTCCTCCCGCCCCCCGTCACTGTCGAGGGATCGGATTGCTCTGGGCGGCCGCGTTCAGCAAACTCGGAGTCGCATCACGAAGCGCGGCCAATACGGGGCACTGCATCACGGAGTGGCTCGCGTCTTGGCAGAAAACACAACCAGACGGAGCTTGAGTACCCCCAGCGGCTGCAGTCTGGCCTCCACCATTCTGGGGCCTGTCACACTCGACCGCGATATGACCAAACGCGCCACAGCGCCTGCAGCTCATCGACGCGCGCTTGCGTGTAGCGCGACCATGTCCCACGAAGTTACAGCGACCACACACAGGCGAACCGTCCTGCGTGCGACTATCATCGCCCATCCGAATGCCCCGGGATGGCTGAGCGTTCCCTGGCCCACGACCGTTTCCAGCGGGCTGAGTGGCAGGGGTGGCGGCCACTACCGGCGCTCGATTGCGAGGCGACCTAGGCGGCTGCCACTGGCGCTGCATAAGTTGCTGTTGCCACTGTTGTTGCTGCTCCATGAACGACTTCATCTGCTCAGCGAAGGCCTCGACCGCAGTCGTCCCGGGGGCCTCCTCCGACTTCTTGTTCTTCTTCTTGGACTCGCTGTCCGAGAACTCGTCGTCCTCCTCGATCGGACGGTGCATGTCCTTGAATATGAGCCACTCGCACGCCTCCGGAATGTCCGACGCGGGACTCGCGTCCAAGGTCGCCAGCATGCGCTTGTTCCGCAGTCCTCGGCGGAAGAGCTGGTACCGCATCTGCGGATTCGGGTAGTCGAGGGACTCGCACAGGTCCGAGACTCGGTCACCCCACTCCTCCACGGACTCTCCGCGCTGCCTCTTCGTGTTCTCTAGCAGCTCACACAGCTCGTCAGCCGTCCGGCTGAGGAACTGGTTATGGAACCGCACCTTGAGCGTCATGAACGACTTGATCCTCGAGTTGTTCCACCACCGGACAGCCTCGCGGCCTCGCAGCTTCTAACGGAACACCAGCAATCTGGACCGGTCCGGGAAACCGTCCGTGTGGTCCTCGAAGAGCTCCCAGAAGTCCCGCGCTTTCTCCACCGTGTCCGTGTCCGAATGAAACATCAGCAGCACCTTCACGGCGTGCGAGACCATCGTAGACAGGTTGTAGGCACTCGGCGAAAGTCCACTGGCACCGCACCAACTCGTCGACGGTGCAGCCGTCGGAGCCGGCGGAGCCGTGCCCGTTCCAGGCGTCCGACTTACCGTAGGGCCCGTTGTAGGTTGCATGGGCATTCCGCCACCGAGCGGCTTTGAGAGCCCAGCCGGACCGCCGGTGAACTGCAACTTCTTCATCGGAGGGGGCGACTTGGTCGGCGACTTCACCGCGCTTTCCGCTCCCACTCCATCCTCCATACTCGGGGGCCTTCCCCGAACCATGTTGAGCGCTCCAGCTCCATTCAAAGGCAGGGCGATCCGTTCGGCGGGCCTTGGGACCCGTGTAGCGGGTGATGAACCCACTCGGGCCTCGCTGCGTCGGGACCGGCTCCTCCATCGCGTCGTGGTAGTCTTCCTCGTCGTCGGCGTACATCCCGTAGCCGTACCCATAGTCCGTCGGCTGAGCGTAGGGCTGCCCCACACTCGACCGTCCCATCGGACGCGAGACCGGTGGCTCCGGCTCGCCCTTCACGGCGGGCTCCGCCTTGGCCTCCGCCACGGTCTCCGTCTTCATTCCAGCCGAGGTCACCGGCTGGACTCCAGTCGCGGTCTCCGTCTTGACCGCCTCCTTCTCTTCATAGCCCTCGTCTTCTTCATCTTCCCGGAGCTCACGCATCACATCCGACACGGACGCTCCCTCTTCAGCATACTCAGCGGTCTTCCTCCACCGCTCCAGGCTCCTCAATCCCTCTTCAACCGGGTCCGGCGCGTCCGCTCCAGCCTGGCTGGGCGGCGGCGGGACCCTCGGCCGCTGGGACAACGGCGGCGCTATCCCGATCATCGGCGTCCCGGAAGCCGGTGTCGAGGGCCTCTGCCGACGTCTTTCAGCACGCTCAGCTTCTGCTCGAGCGGCACGCTCTGCTTCGGTTCGAGCGGCACGCTCTGCTTCGGCCCGCGCGGCACGCTCTGCCTCGGCGCACTCTGCACGCGCTCTTTCTTCTTGTTCAGCCCGGCGGCGTGCTGCTTCCTCAGCGTTACCGCCTCTTCCTCCTTGTCCTCCTGGCATCTTCTCTTCTCAGTTTACCGTTCCTTGTCCACTCTCAGTTTACCGTTCCTTGTTCACTTGACCTCTTGCTCTCGACCGTGCACACTTGGCTCTTGTGTCTACGTTACCGTTCCCTTGTCCTACCGGCCTGGATCGCTCCTCTTACTGCTCCTCGACGCCGCTTTCCCCGCGCGGCGTGTACTCGTGTGCGGACTCCTGGGTCCTTCCCTGGCACACTTTAAACCCGAGGAGGGGGGGGGGGGGTCACACGTCCAGACACCAGGTCCAGACGCTCGGCTCTTGACTCTGTTCACTTCCGGGCACAGGCTCTCAGCACTGCTCACTCCACAGTCGGCAACACTACCCTACTTCTCCACCACGTGTCGCGAGTCGCTTTGTCGGACCGGTTTGGGGCCGGCCGCCGCTGTATTGGAGTAGTAAGTGCTGCCTGTGCTTATAGGTTTATGGGGCACAAATAGCAAGGAGATCACTAAGCAAAATGCAATAAGTGTTCCTTACGACCTGTGTGGTCCTTTTAAGCAAAATTGACGACTGACCTTCCTTCTACTCCTAACTCTTCCTCTCTACCTCTGCAGATCCTTGCGTTTCAGTGCCTTTGGGTGACTCCGTTCCCGCTCACCCCTCCCAAAGACTTGATCCGTTCACCTTGACGGCCCTCAAAGCCGCCCAACATGCCATCCGTCCCCGAAGTCCCGCCACGACACTGCGAGGCACATCATCCCTCCAAGATACCTCTGGGTAGCGGCCCACGGGTCTCCACCTTCGAGACAACCCGGCCCACGGCACTACTTCTCGCCCGCGGCCACAGCAGGTGGACGACCTCAGGCACTCATCGTCGCCCACGCAGAGTTGGAACGGTCCGAGCCGTTCCAACTCGGGATACTGTCCGCGCGAGATCCGTGACCACAGACAAACTATCCACCTCAAACTGATCAAATGGGAGCAACCCTTTTCTTTTTGCAGCGCAACCGATTTTAATAGTTGCGCTTGAGTGTCAAAAACTCGCAGGAGTCATAGATAGAGTCCCACCGGGTTTCAGCATAGTGAAGACAGCTCCCTACACTACGTTTGGTAGACACGTGCGTTCACGTGAAAGACATCTCTGAACCTAGGTACGTGCGAAAGTCACAACAAAGCTGTCTAAAACCAAGAGCAATTGGTTCATGGCCAGGTATAGTTCATAACGGAAGCCCCAATACAGTCTAGATCACTACAATTAGTATGTAGCCATCCTGTTAATACAGGACGCTGGCAGAGCCTTAATTTAGGAAGTGCGCCCAATTTATGCTCATCCTTCCTAGTTTGACGACCTGATCACGGTATATCTTGAAGGTTATCTTGAAAAGCGACATGATATCTCATGTCATAAATGGTCCACCGTAGGTTAACTGTCGTGGTCCCGTCTCAATTGTGCCGCAGACTGCAAAACGGAGGGCAGGACGTGGGTGCATGTGCTAGCTGCACAGTACGGCAACGCTACAAGACCATGGAGACCTGTGTGCAATTCTATCCTGCCCCGAGCCATGACGTAGAAACATCAAAGCACGGGCTTCCGATTCTCTACGTTACCGACACCTCTCTTCTCCTTCAGTTCGTAACTCTCCGTCCATTTAGCAGCCCGTTCCGCCGGCAATACGCAGGCAGCTCGTGGACGTCGACAGAGTCAGCGCGTTGGTCAGGACGACCCAGACGAAGCCGAAGAGGATGTCGCAGATGGTCAGAATGCCTATGATCTTGCTCTTCCCTCCCGTGCGCTTCAGCTCGTGGACGTGCTCCTTTTGCCGCGGCAGCCAGTACACGAACACGATGGAGGCCAGGTTGAACGCGTAGGTGATGAGGTACGCGTACGTCACGTCCAAGCGCACCTCGTGCGTGTCCTTCTTGAGGTCCTTCGCCGTAATGCTGAAGTGCGAGTCGATGGACTTGTACATGACGGTGGAGAACGGTGTACCGATGTTGTTGATAGTGATGATCAAGCCCATGATGGTGGCCTCGCTACCGGGGTCAGCGATTTCAATGACGAAGAGCTTCGCGATCAGCTCGCCGATACAGCTCGGAACCTCGGCCAGGAGAGGGACACCGAGCCAGAACCATTGACTGCGGTACACGTCCCAAATGGTGAAGAACGTCGGGAAGCAGTCGATGAAGACGACAAGCACCTGACAGACGATGACGACCCAGCGCCAGCTCCAGTTGAGCCCCCATTTCCGCACCGCATACAGCACAATGAAGCTCACGATGGAGGAGATCATGCTAGCGATGCCGTCGTTCAGCGGCTCGACGTGCGACCAGATGCTCTTGATCTTGCTGGCCGCGGTGACCGAGAAGTTGGAGAAGATGTGGTAGAAGAACCGGAAGGCCAGCACTTGGTAGATCACGCGGTACTGCATGAAGTCGTAGAGGTACGCGAAGAAGGCCTTGGTGGGTTGTGCTGGGGCCTTCTCCTCGGTCACGGAGAACCAGCAGAGCGGAATGGTGACGAACGAGAAGGCGGCGCACACGCCCATGACTCCGCCGAAGCCCATATCCCACGAAAAGGTCCCTCCGTATGCCGCGCTGTTGAGCCCAATCCCCACGTCAGGTTACCCGCCACAGCGCTGACAATGGCGATGTCCGTCTGGATGGAGCCTCGGATGGCCTCAGGCTCGCGCTGAACCAGCTCGACCAAGTACCCATCGGCAGCTCCGTAGGCAACGATCGTGCCGAGGTGGGCCAGGATGAAGAGGATGATGAGGTGGATGCCCTTATTGGGAGCGTCGTAGTTGATGGTGGCCTGCTGCTCCACCGTCCACTCGCTCTCAGGGATATCCTCGAGTGAGGCATCGCCGTAGTACGGGTCTCCCAACGGAACCACCGCCATGACCAAGCAGCAGACGAACGCCATCGCCCAGCCTGCCACCATGTACGACCGACGACGGTAGCCGAAGATCGGGTAGCAGTCCGAGATGAGGCCCGTGAACAGTCGGAGCGCGTGAGGGACTCGCACCACCGCGGTCGCGGTCGCCACCAGCACGGCGCTGAGATTCAAATAATTATTCAAGACGGAGTAGATGACGCCGGAGATGGAGCCGTAGACGATGGCGACGGAAATCTGGTGCGCGGCCAGTCCCAGATTCTGACGCGAGTACAGCGAAGACGGAGGGCCGTCAGGTCGAAGAGCCCCACCTTCGAGATCACCGGGAGACTTGAGTCCGTCGTAGTATGCAGCGGGGGCTGGGGACGGCATCTTTTGAAGGTTCGGGCCGACCGGTGCGACGAACGAGAGCGAGGAACGCTCGACAGAGGTGGGAGTGCCCATGGTGATCCAATGCAAAAGTGGAAATGAAGATGGTTCTGCGAGTTTCGAGACACAATTCGGCTGCTCTTCGATTGGTGGTGAGGACTACAAGTGTACCAAGTTATCCATTGAGTCTAGGCTAAGGTCACCGTGAATGATCTCTTACCAGTGTTGCAAACACAGCAGGTGTACTGCTGGCGCGTGGCTGGGACCAACGAGATGTCATGTTGGTGTGTGCTGCCCCTCGTTGGAATTCGGCCAGCACCACAGACAAGTCCACAGGCAGAAGTGTCGATGAAAGGGCAACCGATCCGCGTCAATCGGACGTGCATGCGGGTGGACAACACCGCGCCAAGTGATCACCGCGAGATGTTTGCAGCCGTTCGGCGTAGCAGCACGCGTGCCGCCGCCCAACAAAACCCGCGTTTTGCCAGAAAATGGGCAACTCTGAGAAGACAGATTTCGTGATGTGGACTATCTCAAGTTTGATAAGTTTGATGGTAGTCGAGGTGGTCATTGAAGCTCGGTCCGATGAGGCGGGCCGTCCGATAGAAAGGAAAAGCTCACTGTACCACGAACGAGCACCCCGAGCTGCATTCGGTCCATGTTTATTTAATCAATCGGTTCTGCTCGAACTCCTTGGCCAAGCGAGGACAAGTGCGTCTACACGTACGAGGACAAGAGGCGAGAGGAAGGCGAAGTAAATGCAGAGGACTTCCTGGGGTCAACTGTTTGAGACGAGGTGCACTGCTCGTCCGCAGACGATATAATATATCTCCTCGGGATGATAATATCATCCCGAGGAGCACTTGGTCACGCTACCGCTGCTGTAGCGTCGTGCGGTATCCGCTCAGACCAGATGATACCTTCAGCGCTTGACGCAAACGATGGCGTTTACACCTCTGTTGGTATAAGACATGCATCCAATGGGTGGAAAAATTAAATAATACAAGTAGATTGGGGCTATTTGTCCAATCGTAAGTAGATCATGGGGACTACTTATACGTATCAGCACACAGCGAGCGAAGCGAGCCCACGCCTGCAGTTTGTCAGCCCGTGTGCGAAGCACGCGGATGCAAACCCAGAACCCAGCATTGCCCTTCTAGCAAGCGAAAGCGATGGGTGCGAGCCGCAGCGGGCTTGTTAGGGTTCTGTCCAAGCGAGCGCAGCGAGCCTTTCGGGCCTGGAGGACCACGCGGAGTGCGTACAGTAGCAGGGTGCTAGTGAAAAAAAATTCATGTAATTAACGTCCCCCAGTGTACTTATAAGTCCCATGATCTAAATACGCTTGGACAAATAACCCCAATCTACTTGTACTTACAGTTAGTAGTATTATTTATTATGCCTTGCATGCTTTCTGTCTAAACAACGACGTAATTCGTTGTTTTAGCAAATCACGGTGATTAGCCCATCATCGAGTTAGGCGGCCAACTCTTCGAGTTAAGATAGAATAGCAGCTAAGACAACGAGTTAACGTTGGGTTATGCCTACTTTCGTTGAATGGCTGGAGTAAATCCGACAATCCTACGGTCCTGACATTCTAACTCTCTCGCTTCGTCTGCAGTCGACCATGACGATATCGATTGACATGCGCTGGCGATCTATCGTGCTAACCTACTTCTACGATATTGATCTGACCGTTGTGGCTTCAGTGATGGGAGTGTCAACGCGGTCCATTTCTGGCTGGGGCTATCTGTTCCGTCGTCGTGGTAACGTCATCCCGAACGCTCGAATTGAATTGTCTCCTTCGCGCTCTAGCAGCTCGCTAATTGCCGAGGCTTCAACACGAGCTTCGGTGGCGCGACGAATCTGACGTAGTGTTCTTCCACTGTACATATATAAAAACATCAAGTTGAAAGTCTGCTTGCCTCATAAGAAAACAAAGCTCCGTCAGAAATAAAATTAAAAATATACGACAGGATGATGAAAAACTAATTACCCAGTCTTGCGGCGAGCGGCTTGTTTCCATAATCGATTAATTCTGTCAGCAAATTCATGCTGTGAACTCGCAAATGCAACGAATGCTGCTTGTGACGCATTTGCAAGTGGCTTGAACAGAATGGGCGCATCCGACTCCCATGTGATGTCAGTAAACGCAGCAATCTTGCTGTCGATCTGAGCTCGCAGGACACCGTAGCCTTCGCCATGCTGGAACTCGAACATAATCGGTGCTCCATAGGTCGTGCGACTGTAAGAGTACGGCTGACCAACTTTGATGGTCAGGCTGACCTGCAGTTTATCAGGAATTGGCAATGCCATTAGAGTGTCTGTCAATAGAAGACAGTTAGTTTGGTAAGTTGTGCAGTCAAGCCGGTTGAAATATACACGAAGACAATGTCAAGACAGCGAATCTACCTGCGCGATGAAGCGTCTAGTCGGGTGTCGAGTACGATGCAGTTCTGGTAGTGCGGAGGCTACTGGTACCAGCGGCGCACGATCTATTCTTGCAGCGACAACCGCTCCATTCTTGCAGCGACAACCGCTCCATTCTTGCAGCGACAACCGCTCCATTCTTGCAGCGGCTACCGGTCTATTCTTGCTCTGCGCTGTAATTGGGACTGGTGGTTGATTGACTTATTTTTAAGTTAGAGTTAGGCTGCGAGATATGATCACCGGGAAGGATTTGCTCGTTGGTTTAGAGCCCTTAATCGCATGCCAAAGTTCGTGCAAAACACAATAATTCCTCCCAATGGATGCCATCCATTGGTGATGAGATGGACATCTAGAAAAGGTTGAGCCACCTCAGCTGGCAGCTCATATGCTGCTTGTCAGTCAGAGCTGGCCCAAACTTTCCCCAGAGCTCCACAGCCAACATCAAACGAACATGCATCTTCACTATTCACGTACATATACAAATATTGTGAATTACTGGTCCTCACCTTGCAGTGTAGTTTTTGCTCTACAGTAAGTTGAAGTGCAGATACACAAAAGGCTCAGGAGCTGGGAAAGGAGAGAGAAAAGTAAAGAGGGGGAAACCACAGAACACAAAAATACAACGGGAGCAGCAAGTCGCTTTACTCCCCCACCTTCTCTTCCTCCTTCGTTGTGTGGTGTGAGTTACAGACGCACGCAAAAGCAGCCAAGTTACAAGTGGTTATGAGCCCAACGCTGCGTTGGTAACTCCCCGACAGTGAAGACCATGAGTACAAGTGCAGACACGAAGAAGAAGGCCACGAAGGACGAGAAGAAGGCCGCTCACCCACCGTTCGATGGCAAGGACTTCGAGGTGTGGTTCGAGCGCATGAAGTTGAAGCTGGAACGCAAGGGCTTGTGGAAGTACTGTGAGAAGGAAATCGAGGAGCCGGAGGAGTTGAAGCAGGACGAGCACGACGCGTGGAAGAAGGACTCTGCACGCGCTAAGGAGCTACTCAACGACGGAGTGACGGACAAGATAATGAAAACTGTGAAGTTTGAGCCGACTGCGTTCCGTGTAGTGGAGAGATTGAAGCAGAGATTCGTCGGAAAAACGGATTTCAAGTATGCAGCTGAAATGACACAGCTGAGGAAGCTCCGGCTCCCGGAAAACGGCAACATGTCTGATCATTTGGGTGAAGTGCGAAGATTAATTGATCGAATTGCTCTATTGGGTAAACCTCTCAATGAGTATGAGAAGCCTGCGATTTTGATCGGCACACTGCCTGACGCCTATGATAACGTGGTGGAAACGTTTCTGGCAAGTCACGTGCCTCGAGATGTAAATGACCCTCCCAACTATGATCAATTGGAGCATGCGTTGGAGCTCGCGTATGATCGGCGCCAAGGACGAAAGCTGGACGAAGGTAGTGAAGACCAAGCTTTGTTTGGAGGATCTGGTAGAGGTCCGGGCCGAGGCCGTGGTTCTGATCGTGGCCGTGGTGGTCGCAGTGGAGGACGTGGCCGAGGGCGTAGTTTTGGTCGTGGTGGTGGCCGAGGAAGCAGCCAAGAAGCTGGACGTGGCCACGGAGGACAAGGTACCAGTAGAGGAAGATGCTTTCATTGTGGAGAGCAATCGCACCAAGTGCTGGACTGCCCGCACTTAGGCAGACATCGGGCAAGTGGTGCTCGTGGATCCGAGCCTCCTCAAAAGCAAGCCAAGGTAGAAGGAGCGCAGGGAAAACGAGCTGCTAAGAACCAGTATACTGGAGATGAGAGTGATGAATCGGCATACGTGGTTACTGCTCTCATCAAGCAGCCTCCCAAAGTGCAGAAGTTTGCGAGCAAGCGCTGGTACTTGGACTCGGGAGTCACAAGTCATTTGACTAACCAGAAAATTGATTTTATTTCGTTCACGGCCATGAGTGCTGGTGGTGAGAATTGGTTGACTGTAGCTCGAATTGGTACTGTGAAAAAGGAGATCCAGACTACAAGTGGGCGGCAGACGTTAGTACTGCGTGGAGTACGTTATGTACCAGAGCTGCAATGCAGTTTATTCTCAGTGCGTCGACAAACCGCGCGAACCCTGCCTGATGATGAGAAGGTTCGAGTTCACTTTGACGACGATGAATTCGCAAAGGTGAAGTTTGAACAAGGAAGTGCGAAGGCACATGTTGACAGAACCAATCTTTATTGCTTGGAGCTGAAGAGACTGTGGATTCCGCATTGGTTGTCGCCACTGATGGAGACCACAAGGTGCAGCTGTGGCACACGCGCCTTGGTCACCCAGGACGGACGGTATTCAACGCACTATTTCGCCATGCAGACTGGCCGCTGTTAGCTGTGGATTTGAGAGTCGGGCGAGGCTTCAACTGTGAAGCATGTGTAAGAGGCAAGATGACGAGAAAGAGTTTTCACTCGGTGCCGAGTTCGACTCGTGACTGGTTAGTTGGAGAACGAGCCCACGTGGATGTTTGGGGACCGTATCCAGTGGCTTCGTACTCGGGCATGCGCTACTTTGCTCTCTTCGTCGATGAGGCTTCTCGCTTCTCGACACTGTTCCTGATGAAAGAGCGCACCGACGTCTACGCAAAGTTGCAGTTCTACTATGAGCGAGTAAAAACACAATTGAAAATTCGAATGAAGGCGCTTCGTTGTGATAATGCTCGCGAACTACTGGCGCTCGGTGAGAAGTGCAAACGCAACTACGGAATGAAGTGCTCGCTGACTGTGAAGCATACCACATAGCAAAACGGGGTTGCTGAACGAATGATTCGCACGGTGACTGAGAGGATGAGGTGCTTGCTGGAGCATTTCGGACTGCCCAAGCAGATGTGGGCGGAGGCCGCTGTCACTGCAGCATACTGTGTGAACATCGTGCCGAACAAGAGAAAAGGAATGCAAGTCCCGTATGCAGTGTGGTTCAGAGAGACACCTGCGTACTCGAGACTTCGGACGTTCGGTTGTGCTGTGTTAGCATACGTTGACAAAGTTGAGCGTAAGAACATGGATTCACGAGCGAAAGAAGCTGTATTCGTTGGTTATTTTCGTGAGAGAAGAGGCTACCGGTTGCTGGACAGCAAGACGAACAAGGCGTTCTACAGCCACACCGCCGTCTTCTACGAAGATAAACCTGGACGAATTCTGTTGAAGGATGATACAGAGGCGCCATCAGTCCCCACATCCGAGTACTTGGACATTGATGCAACGACGATGCAAAATATTCCTTCTCTGTTGGAGGAAGCGCAAGCTGACGAGAGGCATGCATCAGAGTGCGGAACTGGTGGGGCTGATGAAGGAGCAGTGCGAGCAGAGACTACTGGTGAAGATCATGCACAGCAGGTTGGTGGTGCCGCAAGTGAGACCGTGCCGTCGCGAAAAAGAGCGCGCGCGAGTGGAAACTCGGTTTCGCGCAAAAGAACTCGCACTGTTGAAAAGGTGAAACCAAGTGCAGAAGTAGCACGGGTGAGTAAGGAGAATGCGCCTCGTCGGAAGAAGAGAAAAAGAGGGAAAAGAAAGAAACGAAGTTGTGAACGGTGTGAGACACCAAACGAGGAGTCTGATGGTCCGGGCAGTGGGCGGTGTGTGGCACCGGCTGTGAAGCAAGATGATAAGGAGGCAGAAGTGCAGCAGTCTTCGACTCGCTCGCCTGGTGGGATGACGACCGCTAGCAACGAGAAGCTGGATGCTGATGGTGACTCGCCGATGGGGGACCTAACCGTCTCTGAGCAGCGAGATGCACCTCGCAGTAAGGCGCCGAAGACTGGCTGCAGAGAATACCGGACGAAGAGTGGCAGAGTGTCGAAGCCACCGCGGTGGCTTGGCGACACCATTCATCTTGTGTACAGAGACTCAATTGAGAAGGAGCGGTCAGCTGGTTCATCAAGCTCGGAGGTGAAACGTGATGAAATGCAGTTTGAAATTGCAAAAGAGAAAGCAATGAATTGGTGGCAGGACTTCTGTTGTCTTTCGGATAGTGTGATTGATGAGCCAGAGACCCTGGATGATGCAATGAATAGCGACTACGCAGAGGAGTGGCGTTCAGCAGCGGATACCGAGTACCATGCCTTAATGAATAATGGCACATGGAAGCTGGTCCTTCGCCAGAAAGGTATGAAGGTGCTCGGAAACCGTTGGATATTCCGTGTGAAGTATCTTCCCACCGGAGAAATCGAGCGGTTCAAAGCCAGATTGGTGGTCAAGGGCTTTATGCAGGTCTATGGCGTAGACTATCTTGAAGTGTACTCACCTGTGGTCCGCCTAGAGACTCTGCGGATGCTGCTGACACTAGCTGCAATCTGGGACTACGAAGTCGACCAGATGGACGTGACGACCGCATTCTTGAATGGCCCTATCGATGGAGAAGTGTACATGGATCAACCCACGGGGTACAAAGAAGCAGGAAAAGAGGACTGGGTTTGCAAACTGGATAAAAGCCTGTATGGCTTAAAGCAAGCCCCCCGTCTTTGGTTCCGCCTGCTGAAAGACCACCTAGAGAAACAAGGCTTTACGATAATGAATTGTGAGGCTTGTGTTGCTGTGAAAGTGGTCGATGGTGAGTTGGTGTTTATCTCCATCTACGTGGATGATTTGATTCTCTTCGCCCCCAACAAGAAGTTGATGAAGGAGCTGAAGCAGATGCTTCACATGTGTTTTGAGATGAAGGACTTAGGGCCGATTCACGTCGAAGTTGCAGGCACGAGGAGTGGGGGTCTCTAGCGCATCGAGTCGAGGACAGCAGTTATACCGTGTGCGAATGGTTGTAGGGCAACGCAAACGGCGAGCCCACGGATCCGGGTAACGACCCGAAGGCCATTTTCGGCTCACTTTGAAAAAAGAAGATACACCGTTCACGCTATTTACAAATAGTCGTGCTCCCGTACTTTTTCGTGACACACAGCGCAACCAAATTCTCCCCAGGGCCTTGAAACATCACAAAGATGGCGGATTTGGACAGATCTCGTGGGCCGAAGCCAATCATGGTCTTGGATTTCTGAAATATTAAATATTGACGTCACTAGCAGATTTTGAAATTTCAACTTTTCCCCTCAAAAATCGTACACCACATTTAGTCAGGGTCCGACTAACGGTGTACCACAATATAACTCGACTAAGTGTTGAGCTAGTTATTGACGGGGAATCCAAATCCGGCTAGATGGTAGGGGAATAAGCTGCTCACAGGGTTCTTCGAATCTCAATCTCAGGAGGGTAACTCGGATTGTGTCAAAACCACGCTCCGTTGAATGTCGAAAATAAATTGGCAATGCCAGCCAAATGCCGCCTTCACTCTTTGTGTGCTTGGTTTGTCAGCGTCCGTCTCATGAAAGTAGATATCATTACGAAGTCTCCATATATCATGAAACGCTATGGAGGTGTGCACCCATGCCGCCTCTAATCTGCTTTGAGATCCCGAGGCTTAGGAAACAGCAGCAGCCGCCAATCTAATTTTGCAATAAACGCTTGGCTCAACGGCTTCCACATTGTCTGCCACACTTCATCCAGTGCCGGGCACGAAAAGAAGCAGTGCTCTACTGTTTCAAATGAAACGCATGATCTTCGAACACACTGCTGCACAGTGGGATTCAGCGACTTCAAAAAGTCGTAATCCGACGATAAGATCTCCAAGGAAAAGTCTTAGCATCACATCGTGAATTCGGCTCACATCGAGTGAGGCCAAGGTCTACATGTACTTAACGTTAATTGCCGGAGGTGTGCTTGTTGCCAGAATAACTTATACTTGCGCCTATTTGGCGCCGCCAATCGAGCGGCAATACGAGCCCAGTGTTCGTCATCTGCGGTGTAGTCCGTCAGCCGCTCGGACATTTCGTGCAGCAGCACAGATCCGCTACGAATACGAGCAAGGCAGAGGTAGCGAAATGGTTGCGGATTCTACGGGGCTGCACTGTGTGTGCAAATAAACTGGATTCTAGCATCGCATTTGCTTCTTACAATCATTCGGAAACAGGGTGTCCTGCAAACTCGATGCCCAGCTCGTTGTAGGGAAAGATGCCGGTTCTATTGATTACCGGTACTGTCAAATCCTGTACGTAGTCCTCAAGCACACAGGGCTTCCATGCTCACTTTCAATTTCGAGTCCTGCGCAACCGATCATGATCTCACGCTTGCTTCTGTTGCTCGGTGTTGCCGCCGCTTCGATAAGCTTTGCGAGGGCTGATACTATCGACCACGACAAGGTGCAGCCGTTCGCGCAGCCCGAGCCAGTCACCATATCTGAGAAGACCGCAATCTAGTTCAAGCTGAGTCTCCAGATCGTCACTGGGTGCCACCCGTACCCTGCCGTCAACGCCGCGGGCGAGACGAGTGGCGGGCTGAAAGGGACAGGGGAGAATGACGAAGACTGCACGGGGTCAACACTCGGCTCTCAAGTGTACGGCCGAGCCGTTTGGTACGAGGACCTTTGGGCTATCATGTACGCGGTGGCTTACTATGACATTTTAAAGGAGGGCCCACCCAAGTGTTATTACTACCGCTGGGGGCGGCAGAGTTGTGAAGTGCCTTTCGTCGAGCACATCAACGGAACGACTGTCATGCTCTCATACGAACGTTACTTTGATGGAACCATCGGCGATTTCCAAATCCTGCGGCCGACTACGCGCAAGGTTACCGGTGAGTTCCAAGACCTCATCATGTGGGAGCAGTTGACGGAGGAGGCGTGCACTGCTCTGAGCAATACCGACTTTGGGGAGAAATCGCCGGTCCCGTTCATCGATGCCAACTTCAACAAAACTCTCGACATGGCTCGCCCGATCTTTTGAAACAGTTCTAGGTCAGCGGACGGTCTCCACAAAATTTAGGACGTTCGTAAGCGACAATTCAGGTAATATTACTCCACCTTTGCGATAATTGGGGCTGTAAACGTTTGCTGGTAGCTCATTTTCAATGCAGCCCACTAGAGCAAAAAAACACCAAAAGACAACATAACATCAACAGGACATTAAAAAACTGGCCCGCGGACACACTAAGGGTTGAAAGAGGTGTGTTTTGGCACAACTTTGTCTCGGTTGATATTTTGTTTTACCAAAACTTCTTTGTCAAAGGGTATTACCAACACCAAGAAAGTAGGTTTCTGTATACAAGGTCGGAACTGGAGTACAAATCTCGGCGTTTCTCATCTCAATTTTAATTTAAAAATGATTGTTAGACGGATTTTACAGGACATTGGCAGGACTTGATAATGAGTAGATATTTGCCAATGGGAGCGAAGAAGGAAGAACAAGCCGGCCAATCAGTTACTGCTATGCTTACGCCGTTTGCGATGGCAGCAGCCTAGCTTAGCTGTCCTCGTCGCCGACCCCGCAATGTCGCTGTGTGTTGCGGTATGTTGATACTGTCAGCGCATGCAATGAACGTTTTAACAGCGTCCTCAACACTTTGACGGGCACGCCACAGTCCGGTACGCTTTGATCTGTCCTCAACTATGGTCATCAGATAGCGTACATCATTAATTTTGTAACAGGTAGCGGTGTGGTCATGCCAGACGGTGAGCAATGTGGACGCTGGAGTGCTGAACGCGACGGTGGTTATAGATCCCAAGCGGCAACGACAACCCCAAGTGGCAACGATGCGGACAATCTCACACGAAGGATCTTCGGGCTAGCTCTAGCGGATATTTAACCAGACGAGAGCAAGTGGGGGCGCCAGCAGCCATTGCAGCAGCGCGCGACGTGCTGTCCGACGAAGACGAACTGACGGACGTTGACGCCCTGGTGAACGACGACGAATTGCTGTTGGTCGATGACGAGTTGTTAGACGAACGAGCTGCCGGGCGGGGAGAGCTGTCGGGCGAGAACGAGTTCAAGCATGAGGACGAGATGTCGGACGATGACGAGCTGCAGAAGGACGACGACGAGCTGCAGCAGGATGATGAGGTGCTGACGGACGATGCCAGGCTGTCGGACGAGAACGAGCTGTTGGACGAGAACGAGCTGCCGGACGAGGATGAGATGTCGGGCGATAACAAGCAGCTCGGACGAGAACGAGCTGGTGGTCGAGAACAAGCCGCAGAACGGCGAGGGCGAGTAGCAGGACGAGAACGAGCTGCTGCTTGTTGTACCGAGGTTAATAAATAGGGGCGTAAGTCCCGGGTGCTTTGCGGTGGTCCACAGGTGCTGATACACCAACGCTCCCTAGCCTCGCTGCGAACGCAGGGGCCCCGAGATAGGCCTTGTTGGCGATGACTCAGACAATGAAGCGGCCGTAGGAGTTTTGGTACACTGCTCGCGACCGGTATTGCTCTTGATCTCGCTAACTTTTCTCGCTAGCTGGCCCCAGTCGATCGATTGAGGGGGGAGTAATATGGATTTTTGAATACTGATGAGGGCAGGAAATATGTCCTGCAAAAGTGGGTAAAACTGGCACTTTTACTGACTCTATACTAAATCCCTGTTTATGAGTTGATTATTGTCTTTGCAATTGGAAAATACCGGATACGATGTCCTGCATTTCTAGGAATGCAGAGTGTCATGTCCTACAATTTCTGTAGAATGTGTATTCGCAGTTCGAAGAACTGTCGATTGGGGAAGGCTTTTGGATGACATCGAACGACATTCACACTACATTCGTCACTTCACCCCCGTGCGGATGACATCAAGCAAAATTTACACAACATATACAGCACTCGATCGAATCGGTCTGAATGACACTTAGAGCATCTCCAGCGGTTGGTCTCAAACACGGTTTTATCCTAAAAGTAACGCTGTTAAGACTTGGCCGAGACTTAAGGCTTCCACCAGAAGGTCCTATTGCAGGTTTTAACTTCACCGGGACCTATAGATTGGCCTTCGAGTCTTAAAATAAGACCACAATCTTAATGCCACCCATACAAAACTGAAGAGTCGCCGTATTTAAAAGATTGCACCAAGTCTGAATGCAATTTCACATGCGGGAATGGACTAATAAGACTCGCTTTAGAACTCACCGCTGGAAGTAAGTCGGTCTGCGCGGGTCTCAACTGTAAAATTGTGGTCTCAAAGACCCTGTTACGTCTTAGGATAAGACCCACCGCTGGAGATGCTCTTACAGGTTTTGATGGATGCCTATTCGCCTCGGAGCTTCTTTCCTTCTACTGTAGATTGGTGGGTGCTAATTCCTCCGGTTGGAAATGATCACCGGAAGTCATTATGATAGGTCGGCAGTTTTTCTGTGACGGCCGAATCTTATACATGACAAATACTAATTTATAAAGTGTACTTTGAGTTCAAAGAAGGAGAAATGTATCTACTTCGAAGTACTTTTCATTTAAAGAACAGTGCACTATCACGGTTTGAAGATTGGAGTAACGCAAGTGCGGCGTCATACAGCTCTCTACTACACGATAGACTTACCGGTAGCTCATTCGCACGTCGGAGTTTGGCCTTCCCCAAGTGTGGAAGCTTGTAGAGATTGCCGCCAGCCTCCTCCAAGATTGCGCGCATGCACGCCTGTAGCGTAAGAAAGATGTTGTCCACAGTGTCGGGTTTGAGCTCCCGAAATGCGTCCTCAACCGACGCTATAAGCGCGTCGATGCCCTTTCTTGGTAGACGGTGTTGAATGCTCTGCATTGAAGCACAAACTCCCAAGTCAAGGCAATTGAGCTCGGGTGATTTGGCTGCTTGGCATAACAGTCTGATGTTCCACCCTCCTTCTGTGCCCGCTGCGACAACGTCCGGATCGGTTGGCGACACGTGCGGCTTCGCATTATCTTGTTGCACGAAGATGAACTGGCGACGGTCCTTCCTTGGCCACTTCGACTTGATAGCTTGGAACATCTTGGTGATCAGATAGTCCTTGTAGACATTTCGATCGACGGTATCAAGATTGCGTGTGCAAATTTCCCCCTTGGCTCTATTCTTGCTCTTACGTTGTGCCTTATACTTCTCCGTGAAAGACCAGAGCCTCACCTTGCCATCCCATCTCTGCTTACGGTGTGGATCGTACCTACACAGAAATTTTATACACAGTGTCAAAGGTTATCCACAGTATAAAATTATATAAATATAGAGACTTACCGAGGGCGTGCGAGTGCTGCCAGGAACATGGTCTTGGGTATGAAGCGCTTGCTCTTCCAGGGTCGTGGAGGCATCTCTTCACCATCAAATACAAGGTAGGAACGTCTGTTGCGGTCTGCGTAGAACCACTTCTAATCGACGTGAACCACGTTGTGCATCGACTCGAAGTGTAACGTCTTGTCGTCGATGAACGACAGCGCATGTTCGACACGGTCCAGCTTGTTCTCGGGGGTCAGCGCCGGCTTGATACACGTCGTACGACGCCATACCATGCCTTCCTTCACAGCTTGTCGTACTAGGTGCCGGGAGAGCCCTGGAGCAGCCGCAACGCTCCTCTCAACTGCCCTATCCTCCACAGGAACACTCGCCAGCTTCGTCCGCACTTCATCTCGATTCTTACGCTTCCTGCCGCCGTTCTGCTTGATCCGGCTAGCCCACTCACCACCAGGAACACCAGCCGCCACTGCAGCCGTGTAGCGCTTCCAAATAGCGCTCACGGTGGTCGGGTCACGCTTCACATGGGCCCCGACGCGGGCGAAGGCTCCGCGGGGTAGAACTCCATTGTCACTTAGCTTGAGGAGCTCGTCGATGATGCCTCTGCGCTCCATGTCCACCAGGTTGGCCTTCGTCATGTTTCCGCGACTCTAAACGAAGTACGGCAGTTGTGGCGGGTGCCCTCTTGATATCGGCTTGCTACTTGGAGCGGTAAAATGAAAATGACGTGGGCTACAGGAACCCGTTTGAGATGAAATCGGTGGCTATGGAAAGCGGAGATCAAGGGCTTTCTTTTTGTCTAATCCGCAGCTTTATACAGCACGTAGTGGTGGAGTTATTGGTTAAAATGTCTGTTTCCGGTGATCATTTCCAACCAGAGGAAGTATTTAATTGCGAGTACACTTCACTGAATTCCATGTAATTTCACAGAAGTCTTATTTGTGAATCAGGAAAGATGCTACATACGACATCGCCACCCTGAACGAGACCAAAGATATGCACACTATGAATGTATCTGGGGAAGTAACGCATTAGGATGTGAGCGAGCAACTAGGGAAATTAAGCGTTACCTAGCAGAAAACAAAATAAAAATTGCCCTAAAGGGCTGGTAGCACGTTATTTGCTTTCATGAATGTCATCCCAACAAGCAACGTCTTTATAGTGAAGCCAGTTGTTGCAAGTTGATGTAATGCACGAGTTTAAATGAAGTAAATGTACTCGGAAGTCCGAGCGCATTACTCATTACTCGAACGTTCTCGAAATGTACTCGAAAGTAAGGACGACCCTCAGATGCTATCAGAGGATGGGGCTCTATCACAAACATCAGTGACTACTAGCGTATTGTGTATTAGCGGACTACTACTACGAACAACGTATTGTGTATTAGCAAGCATTGTATTCTTTCGATCAATATGAGGAATCGGTGCTAATGATGCTAACCTTGGAACGGTGGCGAACGAATACATTCAGCGGAGACTCAAAAACAGCTGCACCTGGTGGTACGTCTTCTCCGAAAAAAAGGGCTAAAAGCTAGCTGCACTAGCTTAGGCGTTTATCTACGAAGACTGGGATGATTTAAGCTTGTCTTATGTGAGACTACATTGCGACCCGCAGAGATCCACCAAATTGGTGGTGTAGAATGGTCTACTACTTGATCCTGTTCTTGTCAAGACAAGTTCAAAGTACATTGTTACCGATATTAGTTCAGATCATCCTAATGACACACACTTGGACGAATCGAAGCTGACAGTTTTTGTTGTTGTTAGATCTTCCGGCGACCCGGACAAAATATGTGTGCGGCTGCACCATGTTTTATCGAACAGAGTTTGAATGTTGCTACGTTGTAGCTGTACGCCGCGGATTCCTGTGCGAGAGGAAGTCCCGGGCGGACATCGTCAAAGCGAACGACAAACACGCGGTGTATCCTACTCCTACACGCGATCGAAATCTGCTAGCTCCTTTTGTCCAATAGAAAAAAATGTAGCCATTAAATACGCGCTTTCATTTGACAAAAAGAAACCAGCTGCTTTTGAGTGAAAACCTGAAGGATTTGATGTCGGCGCTGGTTCCGCCCTCCTCAGGGTTCCGCCCTCCTCAGTTCCAAGTCACCACCTCCCCCTCAACGGAAGTCGCGGAAGCCAACGAGGGTGTGGCTGCACCATGGGGATGAGGTGACGGGGTGTCGGCGACTTCCTCTTATTCTTATGCTCGCAGTTGTTTGGATAAGACCTTAAGGATGCATCTAAAATACATGTTGGGCCAATGCAGCTTTGGTACTTGTGAGAGGAATGCGGCCCCACTTTCCGTTCCGCCACTTCCCTCTCAAGCACCACAAGCCAAGACCCAGGAGGCACTTTGCCCCCCCCATCTCGTGTTTCTCTACTACCTACAACATGAGCATGACCATCAACCGACAGGTTATGAACCCAAACAGGGCCATGCCTCGCACCCGTGGGTCATCGGCACGTACAAGTGGTGATGACAGCTCTGGCCACGAATCTGACTCGGCGGATACCAACTCAGACACCACTGGCACTCGGAAGACGAACCGTCCCCCAGACGAGGACCAATCGCACTCGCTCTCGAGTGACGACAGCTTGAGCAACAGCTCGCGGGACTCGGACAGCACGAGCTCCAACTCGTCCGGCTCGGACGGTGGGCGGGAGAAGAAGCGTATGCGCTCCAGCAAGAAGAAGAAGAAGAAGAAGAAGAAGAAGAAGAGCAACAAGCACAACTATGACCGCCGGTCGGCCCAGCACAACTCGAAGTCCCTATGCTCACAGGAGTCGACGACTATGAACTATGGTGCACGATGATAGAACTGAAGCTCAAGGTGCAAAAGCTCGGGTCGTTAGTGACTGAAGAAACGGTAAAGAAAGACTCATGGAGCTCTCATCGGAAGCAGAGCTGGGAATCGCGCTGCTTGAAGGCGCAAGAGACGAATGCAGGCTTGCTGGGACCGCGCCTTGCTGGGCGCTACAGGCGGCTACTTGTCAATTGCGACCCTGTACTTCTATTTCAAGAAATTGAGAAGGAGTACAATGCTGGCAGTGCAGCCAAGAACGACATTTTGATCAAGGGCGCTATGTTCGCACGCAAGCTGACCCGCGGGGAGCGCGTCGACACCTACATGGACGCTGTGATGAAGTTGCAAGAAGACCAAGTCACGCTTGGCTTCGCACTCGAGGATGCAGAGCTGGCCCGCCTACTACTCACCAACGCTCTGGAAGTTTTTCCAGATCTCAGCAACGAGCTAGTTGCGGCTCGGCTGAAACGAACTGTGCTAGGGTGCGCGGGCGACTCCTCGCAAGAGAACAAGAAGAAAATATGCGCGGGCCTCAGGGGTCGCCCAATCACACGACCTTTCAGGCTGGAAACCCCTCAGCACTAGCCCAGGACGGCAGTCGAGTTCTCCAACTGCTCAACGACCACTCCCCAACTCGCCCACAAGATAATCGGGGCGGCAGGCTGCCAGGAAGGCGATTCCCTGCCCAACAAAGTCATCGGCGGTCTCTGCGGAGCGGCATGGATCGACGACCGTGTGCTATCCGCAATCAACTGGGTCACTGGTATCGAGAGTACCCTCGCAATAACGGCCAATCGCACCACTGTGGACGCCGCAGTGACCACCGCAACAACGGTCGTGGTGGGCGATTTCGTTCTGGCGGAAGTGCAGGGCGTCAAGACCAAGACGCGACTGGGTCCCTGGAGCTGATGGTGTCGATGGAGGCACCGACGGGTTGTTCGGTACGAGAAGGGACGGAGTGGTGCCTGAACAGCTCAAGTCAATAACTGCTCCGACCTTTCCTGTTTTACCGAAGTGTCTAGCGTTTGCGACGGCCGTGTAATGCGCTGTGCTAATGGGAGCTCGGTGAATGTGAATCAAATAGGATCGGTAGAGCTGTTCGTGGTTAATGACCGCACGGGACAACGCGAGCAGCGAATTCTACCAGGCGTGTACTACGTCCCCGGCGCAGTTGCCAACCTCATTTCGCTCGATTACATATGCAGTCGCGGCTCAACTACTTCCTGTCCATGGCGCACGACCAGTCGGCTTGCTTCATGACGAAGCCTACTGTGCCCCTCAAGTTCGAGAAGGTTGATGGTATTTACCGGATCTGGTCGGTGCGACCTCGGCGGCAGCGGTGTGAAGTCATTTGCAATGCAATTCTGAGGCCCAACAACAAGCGAGCGAAGCAAGCAATGGCGGTGTGGCACAAGCGGTTTGCTCATGATAGTACAGAAACAATTCTGGATATGGTTAAGCATCAGGCTGTTCGCGGAATGAAGCCAGAGACGAAGGTGAACGAAGATCACACTTGTCTGCCATACATCGAGGGTAAGACAGTGCGCATGTCATACAAGGAGCGGCGGCACCGAGCGAAAAAGCCGCTTCAGCGATTTCAAGTTGATGTGTGTACGGTCAACGAGTCAACTGTCGATGGATTCACTGCCTTCCTGCTCGTGGTCGACGAGTACTCGCGCTACAAGTGGCTGTTCCTCCTGAAGCAGAAGAGCGAGTCAAAGCCTCACAGCATTGCTCTTTTCAACCGCCTGCACATTAAGGATCGTGCTAGGCACTGGCGAGTCGAGGAAATTCATTCAGACCAAGGAGGCGAGTTCGACAACACCAACCTTCGCGAGTTCGGCAGTCTACATGGCATTGCAATCACTACAACCCATGGATACACGCCTCAAGAAAATAGGATCGTTGAACGTGCAAATGGCATTGTTCTCCCGATACTACGATCGCTTCTGCACATGACCAACTTGCCTGACAGCCTGTGGGGAGAAGCTGCCCTGCACGTGGTTTACACCCTAAATGTGACAGCGACACGAGTCCTTCAAGGTCGCACGCCGCATGAGCTGCTGTCAGGTGGTCGCCCAGATGTATCGTGGCTCCGGACATGGGGCTCGCTCTGCTACTATCATATTGCGAGCGGCTCAAGGAAGAAGAAGGAGAAGGTGTCTTCAAGAACGGGTACTGCTACTCGTGGGATACTCGCCCAGCACCAACGGCTACAAGGTTCTCGACTTGGAGTCAGGGGGAGTTTCAACTCACCGAGGTGGGAATCTAGTCTGGGCTGAAGACTACACTGTTGACCGGTAATATATCGAGAAGCTGCTGGCGAACGCGTACAGTCACGGCGATCATCCGTTATCAGCCCTTGCTCCTCTTGTTCCGATGCAAATGCAGATTGAAGACGTTGTGCGGCTCGATTCGGTGAAGGAAAGCGAGTTAGTGCGACCAGGCCCTCTTGAACCATGTGTAAGCAGCTCTACTGTGGCAGCGATGCAGCCAGTCACTGAGCAATTGCCAAGGAACGAGCCCATTACTGTGACGCAGCGCGGCGATGAGCCTACCGCAGCTTCTGGTTCAACCCCCGGCGAACATGATACCGTTGCGCGCCATCAAGTATCTCGGTTTGGCCGCAAACGGAAGTGCAACACAAGGTTCAACGGCTTCGAGCTCAATTTTGTAGCTCCGAGCAAGACCAGGCGAAAACCGCAAGTACCGATGTATTCTTTGGACCCTCATGATACTTCTCGGCTGCATGCACGCGATGTTCCTATTCCTAGGACGTACCGAATGGCGATGCGCTCACTGTATGCAGCATACTGGAGAGCTGCAATGGTCGAAGAACTGGAGTCGCTGCGGCGTCATGGAGTGTGGATCGTAGCGGATAGGAACTCTGCTGGAAAAGCTGCAGTCATCACCAATCGCTGAGTGTTTGCGGTGAAAAAAGGATGAGCAAGGCTTTGTCAAGCGTTTCAAGGCTAAGCTCGTTATACCCGGGTTTAAGCAGCGCTATGGGGTCAATTTCAATGAGACCTTTACTCCTGTAATTCGGTTCGACACGATTCGCGCTGCGGTGTACTACGCTGTTCAACGAGACTGGATGATTTTGCGGTATGACGTCAAAACTGCTTTCCTACATGGCACACTATCTGAAGTCGTCTTTATGGAATTGCCTGAGGGTAGCGGAGCACCAGGTAACACCAAAATCGGCTGGTTAATCAAGTCTTGATGTCTTTGTACGGCTATAAGCAAGCACCGCACGCGTGGAACAAAACTCTGCACCGTCATCTCGTGGTACTTGGCTTCGTTCGACTTGAAAGTGATCACGGTCACTACGCTCTTCATGAGCAGGGGGAGATCGTCATGCTACTGACAGTGTATGTAGATGACCTGCTTCTCATGGGCACAAGTCAGCGATGTGAAGCCGTCGCATCGCAACTGGCCACGAGCTTTGAGCTTGTCGCGCTCGGACCAGTGAAGTACTTGCTAGGAGTTGAAGTTGTGATCGACAGAGAGCTGAGCACCGTGTTCTTCAGCCAAGCAGCTTATATCGAGGAGCTGCTGCGGCGATTTCACATGAAGGACTGTTGTGGCGTAGTAACACCTGAGGCGGCACAAGCGACATTGAACAAGAACGAGTTGACGCCACTCAGATGAACACGCTGCCCTATCGAGAAATAATTGATGCCCTGCAGTATCTCGTTGCAGGCTCGAGACCTGACATCGCGCACGTGGTTTGCAGACTGGGGTAGTACATGTCCAACTACGGTGCCAATCACTTTGCGCAGGCGAAACGCGTCCTGAGATACCTGGAAGCTACGAAGAATTTTGGGCTTAAAATGAAGGTCACTGGTTCAGCAGAGGTGGAGCTGCTGCGGCTGGAAGCCTACGGCGACGCTAATTATGCAAATGACCAGCAGGACCGACAGTCAGTCAGTGGCTACGTCACTATGCTACAGTGAAATCGCAGCAGTGTTGTGACACGATGGGATTGGAGATTTTCGAGGATTCCCCGAGCCGCGCCTGTGATTGATTGACTCAGAGGCTCACTATGGGAAAGGGAGGCAGCGACACGTGGCGTATGGGAAAAGCAGATCCCGGTCGGACTCGCGTTGGTAGTGTACAAGGTTTGATGACCCCAGATGGAGATGTCCCCAAGAACACACCCCGGATGGAACCAAGTACCGAACGAGAGGCAAAGCCCAAGGGAGCGTAGAAGTGCCTCCGACTGGAGGCCACCTGCTCTTGGTGCACTGTACAACGCAAGAGGAGCCCGACCGGATCGAGTGAAGACCCAGAAGCCGTGAAGCTGTCCAAGACATCCCGGATGTGAAGCCCAAGTGGAGTGTGATCCCGTTTGGAGATAATCATGAATCTCGGATGGAGATACCAAGATACCATCCCAGATGTGAAGACCCAGTATACAAAGTCCAAGTTATTTCCGACCGACCAAGCCGACCAGACAAGATCTGTTCGGATTCCGTGGAACATTGAACTTCGCTTGCGTACCCAGTGGTGATTATACTTGCTGGAAGTATGCTACTGTGGTGTAGTACCCCGCGGAAGAAGTGGGCGCGCCGGGCGCCGGAGGAAGAAGGCGCCGGGACGCGAGTGATGGACTTCGACGCGGCTGATGGAAGCGACGCGGATTGATGGGCGCGACGCAGGGCCGAGCTCGACGGGAAAGTCGGCGTGGGTGATGGGCCGTGAGACACGGTGCCAGAATCCAGTGCGACGCGTAATCATCCGACGGGTCGACCAGCGCACCCGGTTCTGCAAAACGCGCCGACCCTAAACCCCGCCGAGCAAAACGCGCCGAGCAAGACGCGCCGAGGTAAGATCTTGATTGCGCCACGCAAACCAGGTTGAAGGACGGCAGTGCAAGCCCGACAGAAGTAGGGATAGGCCCAGAGCGGTAGGCTTAGCAAGCAGTACTACAGAGTAGCCAGTAGCAAGGACATAGGATAGGGTAAGGACTCAGTCCCGAAATTTCTCTGAACCACAAAGACCTCCCGTCTTCTCCGAGGTTCCAGGGGAACCACCAAGCGCCGGCAAGTAGAGCCGCCTCGATATCGCGGCCCCCCGTCGTTTGCTGCTTCGGGTGCTCACCCCCCACAGACCCGTGCTGGAACAAAGGCACGTTAAACGTATACCGTTTAGGTGGGCGCCCGATAACGCGCTGCCTAGGTGAAGAACCGCACTGGCCTGATAACCGCCGTGCACAAGACCCCGTGTTGGCCCGATAACGCCACACAAGCCCCAGGAAACGCCGGCCTGATAGCGCCGCACGCCCGACGGGAACGCCAAGGAAACGCCGGCCCGATCACGCCGCACGCCCAAGGCTCGACGCCCTACGACAAGGAACAAGCGTCAACACAAGAACCACCCAACTCCGAAGCCTGCGAAGACTTGGGCCTGTATTTCGAAGATACGCTACTCCAACAACCGGGAATAATTCGCTCGGCGCGACCGCTATCCAGACGCGCCGAGTTTGTGCGAGATCGCATTCGCGAGATTTCTGCGAGGGCGCTACTCCACA